ATGTTAGTGTACGCTGACACTGTATGGAAACTGGAAAGATTACAAAGGCTGGAATACATGAGCATAAAATGCACAGCAGGGATCAAGGAGGTGTCCCTACTGTTTTATTCCATTAAGGTGGTGATACATAAAGAGGCAATTAAGATAACAAAACAGCAAAATATCCATAGAGAGCTTTTCTACGGTTTCATTGCCTTGAGGTGTTTCTACATAAGCACACAAATGCTTTGGCAATTCTAGTTTTTGTATAGTAGTCAAATCTACCATTTGTGGTATTCGGAACCCTAGAAGTGAAGACTTTAGTTTTGTTCGAAAGTTAAAAAGTATGAATTGACTTTTGCATGATGTTTTTCATCATTAGTTTGTTACATTTCCATAGTTAATTAATAGCTCTAGAAGAAATTAAAAAAGAAAACAAAATCAAAGAGAGTTTTCATGTAGAGGCTTGAAGGTTGGTCTTGCCCACTTTGACACGTCTCATGCCTTTTAGAACATTGTTTTACGGGTACCATAACAAATCCTTGTTAAAAATGTCGTACGAAGTCCTGTCCAACGCCAAGAGCTAGCGATGATAGGTCCTTCGGATCTATGTTCAAACACAAGAGAGATCGAGAGACAAAATAAAACAAAGGTTAAGTTTTAAATAATTTGTGACCTAGTCAAGATATACCAAAATCGGTTCTTCTAAATGTAGTTCATATTGCAAATTAGGAGCCCTTATATAACTATTACAAAAGTCAAGAACCAAAAAATAAAACTTAAAGTTTTGTGAATCAACAACTAAATTAATGAATCGGCACTCTAACTATTATTAGGAAACTTCATCAAGATAAAAATAAATAAGATAGCTTTCCAAACAAGCCACTCTCTTATGGCCTTATCCACATGATTCTCTTTGCTCATTTTATCCCATGAGCCCCATTTTCTTCACTGGTACTGCTGGCCCCGAAAGCAGTACATAATTATCTAGAATCAAGTATTTGAACATAAATATGCTAGAAAAGAGCATAAGCAGACAGAAGAAAGACAAAGTTATACAACAATATCAAATCAGCAATACCAACAGAAGTTTCTCAAGATATTCAGTTCTCTATCAGGAAAAGGTAATGGAACAATGTTGCAAATAGTAATATGGTCACTAATTCATTGATACTTGGCATAATAGTATTTCTATATTGCCAATGTATTAATACTTGCTATTTAAGACAGATGTCACAAAGAGCCAAAACCGTACAGGTCATACATCTGGCAGGTTCCACATTTCAAAGGTCTCTCTTATAGTCTTACGAGTTCATCAAATTGATACGTACAAACTTGGACTGAAGATGATCATACTTTCAAATTTTACAATAAAACTTTTAGATTGCATAAATCCACTTAACTTTAAAAACATATGTAGAACGCCGTTTTAAAGACTTGGAAAAAGTAAAAAAAAAAAAACATCTTCATTGAAGTATCGAAACATCCCTTACTCTATTGCTATCCGTATTAAGCATGAGAACCTTAGATCTTAATCAGAGAATTGATAATATAAGAGCTCTTTTGGAAGTCTTAAAGTATGCCCTCATTTTCCAAAATTAGAAATTCAACTAAATAAATCATTAAGGAATGATCGTGATCTAATGTAACGAATTCCCGCAGTTGGAAAGAAAATTTACAGTTTATCAGCTCTGACGATCAGCTTCTCGAAATCGGGTGAAACCATGAGGCGGCTGACGAGAGTACGGGTTTTAATCCGTGATCCTATTTGAGTAGAAATTCCACACCTTCTTTTCCTCCACACGTGAACAAAGTTGCCTCGCAGAGTAGAGCAGAACTTGGTTAACTGGTTAAGATAGTCCTCATTTGAACTAGTGTGGACCGTGTGGTTATCAAAGAAACCGGCGGTCTGATTTGAAATTATGTGTTTTGGAGTTAGGTTTTGGAGGGGAAGTTTTATGAGGGGCTTGTGACTCTCCTCTTCACGTTTGGGAGTATAAGAAATTGAAGCAATGGTTTTGAAGGGTTTTGTAACTAATGAAATTGAACCAACTTCTTCTAATTTGGAGAGTTTTGAAGAGTAATTAATGAAATGATAATTTAAGCTCAATTTAAAATGAATGTCAATTAAATTATTTGAATTTGTTATATCTCAATGTGATTTTAATTAGGCTAAAGGGTCAAATAGGCCCTTGAACAGACTTAAAGTGTTCAATTAGTCTCTTATATAGGAGGTTCTGCCCGGCTGTCGCTAATTGGGGCGGTTCCCGGTGAAATTTTTTGATGAAAATTTTTGAACATCTTGTTCATTAGGTCTAGTTTACCCATACCAAATTTCAGCTAATAATTCAACCGGGAAGGCAGTGAAATGATTTTCCGAAATGTACTGCGCTATTTAACTTCGCAGTTATCTTCAAAAAATCATTTGACTGCCTTCGCGGTTGATTTTTTAGCTGAAATTTGGTATGAGTAAACTAGACTTAATGAAGAAGATGCCAAAAGTTTCATCAAAAAATTCCACCGGGAACCGCCCCAATTGGCGACGGCGGGGCAGAACCTCTTATATAAGGGACTGGTTGAACAGTTTAAGTCAGTTCAAGGGCCTATTTGACCCTTTAGCCTTTTAATTATAATTCCTTCAAAGACTTTCTTCTTCCAATTTTATTACTCCCAAATATGAAGAAGGGTTAAACTGTTTTCTTATAATAAATTTAATCGTAATTCACGAATAATCCAACATCTGCACTCCATCTTCATTCGCCGGTCCCTGACCGGTTAATCCTGTTGATGACCTGTTATTCCAAGTTATTTTCTTCTTTGCAAAAAAAATAAAAAAAATAAACCTCACATTTCACAAATTTTCTTCAATGAGTCCCACATATCATTTTTTCTTTATTCTTGCTAAAATTTTCCCCTTTTTATTTTGGTCGTCTTAATCTTGTTATTCCCCCCTTTTCGTCTTCTTATTTTCATTTTTATTACTTTTCCATGTTTATGTATTCCTTTTTTTCTTCTTTTTATTCTTCTCGTTTATTATTTCATATTAATTCTTATATATTTCTCCGGATTAGTTTACTTCTTATTTTTTATATATTTTTCTCACCATACTAAGTTTTTACTTTACTTTCTTTTACTTACACTATTTTTTCCTTTTCTCACCAATAATATGTTTTTTGAAAAATAGCCCAAAATAGGACTAAAGTAATCCTTAAATGGATAAATAGGGCTATGGTATTTATCTTCTCAAAATAGGACTAAAGTACACATTATATTCTTATTCTACTCTTACCATAGCTTAATAGGATAATCATATTTTACATGATACTAAAAATGAAAAAATATAAAATGTATTTCAATTTATAAAAATACAGTAAGACAAATATAAAAACTTCAAAAGTATTTTTAAAAAATAATAAAATAATAAATATTAGTAAAAAATAATTAAAAGAAAAGAAATTTTAATTTAAAAATAAATAAATGTAGGTAAAACACATTAATACATATAAAAAAATTGGAGGCCTTTCCCGTTGCCTTTCCCGCAGCCTCGGCAACCTCCCAGTAATGCCCAACTCCGAATATTTGTGTAAACATGCAAAATGTGTATAAGCACTGCAATTTTTTCTCTGAAAATATCATAAACATGACATTTTTACTCTTTGAGAATACCAAAATTTTCACAAAACTGTCATGAAGATGACATTACTGATACATGTTGGCTTTTTCTTCCGATGGTCGGAGCTGGTGGTGATAGGAGGTTGTTGAAGAGGCAGCAGAGGTCTGGATATTTTTTTTACTCTTTTTTATTTTTTATTTTACCTTTTGAAGTTTTTTATTTTTTATTTTTTTATTTTTCTTATGTTTTAGTTTCACTAATTTTATTTAATATTTATTTTTTTTCTACATTTTTATTATAAATAAAGTTATGTTTGTTAATTTTATGTTTTAGTTATTAATGAAAAATGAAGTTATACTCATATTTTTGCAATTAATTTTGAAGTTATAATATATTTTTCTCTTCACTAAAAAGTTCAAAGAAAACATATATACAAGTAGTCCCAAAAAAAGTATAAAAAGAGATTGCAACAAATAGGAATACTTAAAAGGGAAAGAAAATTTTTAGGAAGAAAAAATAAAAATTATATATGGGATCGTTTTGAGAAGATTTATAGAAGCTGGGATTTGTGGTTTAATGATTTGCAAAGAAAATTAAAAAACTTGAAATAACAGATCATCAACCCGTCAGAGACCAGCGAATGAAGATAGAGTGTAAATGTTGGATTATTTATGAATTACGATTAGGTGAGATTATTGTAAGAATACGGCTAAAAGGTTGGATTATTAGTTTTCATTTTTCCAAAAAATAATAATGATCTAAGTAACAAAAGTCAGAAATAAAATTTTAAGTAAGATGTCATTGGAATAGCAAACTAAAAAAAAAAAGGGTATACATCAAAATTAAGACATCATTATGCAATGAAGTAGCTATGCACGTAAGTTCATAAAACAGTCAAGAAAAATAAATACAAATTTAATTCCTTGTACCCAAAACAAGGTAAGCACAAGTTGTCAATTGAGCTTATGCACATGTTCATGTATAAGAATAGGGTAACAAAGGAAGGTGTCAACTTATTTGAACAATTGTCCCTTTCTCTTATCAATGATTTGCATAATTAACCACGAGTCCTAAATTGTTTTATGGACAATTTTATCTGTGCTAAGCACGGGTGAGTTGACTAGTGTTCATGTATAAGAATAGGGCAACGGAGGAAGATGTCGGTTTATTTCAACATTTGTCCCTACCTCTTATTAATGATTTGCATAATTAACCACTACATTTTATGCTCCTAATGACATCACATTTTAACTTTTTCGTTTATCTCAAGTTTATCACCTACCATTTTTGGTGATATTTAGGTAATTACAATTCTTTCAAAATTTAAGATATTTTTTTATTTTAATTGATTTGACTTTTATCTACACTGAATCACCCGAGATCAATTCACAGAATCACAGTTATAAATACACCAAATAAGTACACACGAGATCCAATCACACTGCTTACTCCTTTCCGACGTATAAAAAAAAACTTCTTACCAGTAGCCTAGGTATTGACGTTGGAATTTGGCTTCCTTTCACATGGATCCAGGTATGTCACAATCTTCTTTCCGTTGTTTCCTTTGTATTTCTATGCGTGATCGCTTAGTGTGGTGTTACCTGATACTTGTTCCACAAGTTTGTTGCCTGAACATTTAATCGGTTGTTACCAGAGGAAACCATGATCGGAAGATCTGAGAATGAGTTGCCGGATTTCTTTTCGATGTTGCCTGAATCACTTACTCATCACATATTGTCATTCCTTCCGTTCAAGCATATCGTCCGTACTTTAGTCTTGTCTAAGATGTGGAGTCGCATTTGGTTCAATTACCCTAACATCGATTTGTTTTTAAATGAGGAGAGTTACAAGCGTAGACGACATCGACGCTCTTTCATAGATCACATTAAATCAGTCATGGATCAATGCATTCTTCGAAAAGCTTGCATACATAAGTTGCAGTTAAAAGTTTATGCTGATAACCTGGAGGAGTTGGCCCCCATTATGGATCAGTGTTTGAGGGCTGCAATTGAGAGGAATGTTTCTGAGCTAGTGTTTGAGATGAATTTTGCTCCAACCACTTACTATAATATTCCGAAGGAAGTATTTGTCTCTAATTCACTGAAGGTATTAGAGCTTGAGGGGTGTAAGTTTGACGATAGTTTTTCCTGCACTAATCTTCCACATCTACAGAAGCTCACAACCATGCAGTGCCTGTTTGCCGGTGAGAACGTCTTATCCAAGATTTTATGTGGCTGTCCTGAGTTGGAGTATATGCAAGCTTTAGTATGTGAAGGCATGAGAAGATTTCTCTCGGTTTCTTGTAAACCTAGATTGAAATATTTTCACATTGGGTGTTTCGACGAGCTCGAGATGATTGAGATCTTTGTACCCAGTCTTGAAACGTTAAAATGTGATATTCCATATTCATGTTCCATTGACTTGGCTAGCTGCACTCTACTCAAACATTTGGAACTAGACCAAGCTATCCTCTCTTCTGATTATGTCCCTGTTCAGTATCTTTTATCTAACCTTCTCCAAATTGAAGAATTGCATTTGTCTAACTGTAAAACAGCTGACAAAATTCAAATCTCAAGTCCATGCCTCAAGAGACTTGTCATGATGGAGCGCGAAAGCTTTCCTGGTGCTGAACTTGACATCCCAAATTTACTTAGTTTAGACTTCTTTTCTATGGGTGAATGTAATTTGAATAACCGGTTCAGTTCTTGGAATGTTCCCAAGGTAGAAGAAATTCACATGCTGTTTTCTGTTAAAAGCTTTCAGAGTTCTTGCAGGAGTGGACTGAAGGGGTTCCTTAGGCAGTTACAAAATTATGAAGATGTAAAATTGATTCTACAGTGCAGAGGTAAACAGGTAAGTCTCATTGAGTTCTTACTTCACATGCAATTCTACCTGAAGTCGCATAATTTTATTTACTGATATTACAAGCATTCTATTTCTTCTAAAAGTAGCATGCCACCCATGTGAGTATAACTCTTTAGAATCGTGCCGAGTATTTTCTGTCTTCATTTTATCATGGGAAAAGTCTCATTGACTAACAAAGTATTCATTTAATCTGACATTCCTTCAGCACTGTAGAAAAACCTTACGAAAATGGAAGATTACGCCTTTACCCAAAACAGTTAAAGACTTTCAGCTTCTCTGACTCAAACACACCTTGTTTTCATCGTTTAACTCGACTAACATTTTTCTTTATATGGCTCACGCTGCCTCCTACTACATCTCATTTTATCTTCTGTTATCGCCTTCAACAATGGTATCCTCTCGGGCAGTTGCTAGAATTCTTCTACTGGTGAAGACGATGAATGAAGAACAGAATATTCCGTCTGTTCTTGCGATTTCTTCGATGATCAGGTGTAAGAAGATGATACTGATCCACTTTACAAACTGGGTTATCTTTAATTGATGATTCTTTCAATTGCTTTAAGAACCGCCATCCTGGCTCATACTTAGTTGGAACCCCCACAACTTTTTAAATTCTATGGTTATAGTTTTTTTTATTTTAATCTATATAGAGAAGGTTGTTGAGGTTCTGGTCATCTCTGTAACACTAATTGACACACAAGAAAATTGAGAAGCATATAATTATACATGCAAGGTTTACTGTATCATCTTTGAGTGGTTCAATGGTGGTAAGTGATAAGGGTGCTTGTCCATCTAATGCACACGATAGAAAGGTATTCAAACAAAGATCAGTTGAATATATGAGATCTACATTTGGCAGTGAGAAGTCTATCCCTCCCTCTTTAATAATGCTGAAAACTTGAGCCCAATACTTATTTGGTCGGCCATCAGTGGTAATTAATCTTTTCTGATTCTGTGAGTTTCAGGCTGGTTCTGTTTGATCACCTTGCCCCTACTTTCTCTCCCTAATCAGCCACTGGGGCTGTTTCTTGCTTTCCACTGGGGCTGCTTCTTGCTTTCTCCGCCATGGCAGGCGGAGGCCGTGAAAGCACCTCTTTATTCATGTACCAAACGTCCAAACATTAACCTAGATTAAGTTCAGTTCCTCCATGTCCAAACAAGATAATCTTCCGTTTCCTAAAGGGGGTATTTTTGAACTGCTTAAGAAATTTTCAGGTTAAATAAAATTTTTGTTACTTATGAGGCTTTGGCTATGTTTAGATGGACTTATTTTGACCCGCACACACTGGATCAGTCTAGACCACCATGATATACTCCCTCCATCCCGAAAAGGTTTGCCAAAGTTGACTTTCACGTGGATTAATAAAGTAAAAACTGTGTGGTTGGAATTTGTGCAGAAGAGAGAATTAACTTTAGCCACATTTTCCTTACTTTAAATAGAAATGACAAATCTTTTCGGGACATCCATAAAAGGAAATTTGTCAAACCTTTTCGGGACGGAGGGAGTAATATATTACTGCCTCTATACCTTAAAACATTGTCATATTTGAAACTTGACCAACTATATATTTTTCGGAAACTTTTTATATTATAAAAAAATATGGAAATTGATAGAGAGCAGAGAGATCAAGGGGTGGGAATGGCTTGGGCCCACCTCCACGGGCTAGTTGTGGGCTAGGGTTATAGTTTTACATATTATTATAAAATTCATGTTATGTTTTTTAGTTTGGGCCTATTATTAGTTACGTATTTAGTAGAGTTAGTATGGGCTTAATTAGGATTTAATTAATTTGGGCTCAATTAGGATTTAATTAATTTATGGCTTAATTATTTATACCCCTTTCCGGGGTTCATTCTTGCATCTTGGAATAAAATTGGGTTTAGACTTTTGGCTCTGTGAAACGGTACTTTTATCGTTGATTATTTGGACAACAATAAAGCATGAAGTCTATTTAGCATAAACCCGTTGATTTTTTTTATTTTTCGTTTCACAACAATTGGTCCGACCGGCCGGATCCCGTCCCACTAGGATGACGAGATCTCAGAATCAGCGCTTACCAAGGCGATCATTCCGCCAGTCACTACGGAAACAAGCCCGTACGCGGTTCGCAGCCTCTCTGTATCTGCGTACAACAGCGACAGACAGCTGCACAACGTCACTTCCTCTTTGGCTGCGCTCACAAAGGCTCTCGTGCCGCCCGCGACGAAGGAGCATTCAACGGCGGTGGCTTCAATTGACGCGGCAGCAGCATCCTCGTTCGGAATTGGACTGTGCAACACCTTTCTCGCAATGATGCCCTCATTTAACGGAGAAGAACCGATCAATTGGGTTGATAGGGTTGAGCAACAGTTCAAATTGAATTGTACTCCTCCAGGAAAGGTGACAACCGTTGTAGTTGCAATGGATGGGTCAACCCTATATTGGTTGACCTGGTCACGAGCACGAAAGTCGGGCATGTCATAGGATGAGCTTGCACGGGCATTGGTGGCTCGTTTTGACTCACGGTTTAAGGGCAATTGCTTTGAACAGCCGCCAGGAGGCAAATAGACATGGATTGTGGAGGAGTACATCTCAATTTTCGTAAAGATACTGGGCAGCCCCCTGGGACAAATGTGTGCCGGTTTATGAACTTCAACCTTGAGGACAAGGTTGTTTCGAAGGAAGATGGATTGATCGAGAGCAAAGAGATCAAGGGGCGGGAACGGGCTTAGGCCCACCTCCGTGGGCTGGTTGTGGGCTAGGGTTATAGTTTTATTTATTATTATAAAATTTATGTTATGTTTTTAGTTTGGGCCTATTATTAGAGTATTTAGTAGAGTTAAGGGGTGCTTGGATCTGATTCTTAAAACTATTTCTGCTCCTTCAGGGAGCAGAAACAGAAGTTGGAGTGTGAGTGAAAGTGCAGAAGCGAATCTGGTGCTCTAATTTACTCCTAGAATCATGATATGAAGCGGGAAGAGCATGTGGCGGGAACGGGCTTGAGCCCACCTTCGTGGGCTGGTTACGGGTTGTTTAATTAATATTTATTATTCATTTTATTTTGTTTCCTAATTTAATTTGTTTCCTAGTAGGATTTATTTAGGACTTCTATTCTTACTAGAATTAGAGGTTTCCTATTTCTATTTAGTTTCCTAGAATGATTTAATTAGGAGTTCTATTAGAACTAGAGGTTTCCTATTCTATTTAGTTTCCTAGAATAATTTAATTAGGATTCCTATTCTTATTAGACCTAGAGGGTTATTTATACCCCTTGTATGCTTCATTCTTGATCATCTGGGAATAAAAGTTTGGTTTAGCCTTTTGGCTTTGGGCAACGATATTTATTTATCGTTGATTATCTGGGCAACGGTTCACCCCGTTGATTTTACTTTTCTGTTCTTATCAAATCAGCTTTTTTAGAAGCTGAGGGCGACCTACTTCTGAAAACTAATTCTGATTCTGCTTTTGCTTTTAAAAAAGAAGCAAGAGCAGAATCAATTCCAAACACTTCCTTAGTATGTGCTTAATTAGGATTTAATTAATTTGGGCTCGATTAGATTTTCTCTTAGAAGGGTATTTATACCCCTTGCCGGGGTTCATTCTTGCATCTTGGAATAAAATTGGTTTTAGCCTTTTGGCTCTGGACAACAGTATTTTTATCGTTGATTATTTGGGCAACGGTTTACCCCGTTGATTTTTTCTATTTTTTGGTTCACAACAGAAATGTTCTTTGTTAAAAGTACTTTCATACAAGTATAAAATTTATAACTTCCGTAATACTATATTAACCAAAATCACAATCCAAACTTTACGAGATGATAAAGTTTTTAGGAACGGAGGTAGCATGTTTCAGTATTCTTATTACAATGATCTATTCATTTGGACTGAACTTTCTTGTCTAGTCTGGCCTACACTAACCTGATTTCTTTCGGTCTGGTATGATATGGTCCCTTAAGCTCTTTCTATTTTGGTCTAGTCTAGTTATATTTGATAACAACAACATTCAAGCCTTAATCCCAAAAGATTTTGGGGCCGGCTAACATGAATCGATCTTTGATAGAGATGCCAAAAAGAGAAGACAGATAAGAAGAAAAAAAGAATAAAACGAATAAGATAAAGATAAATAAATATGAGATAACAATAACATAAGAATATAAGAAAAATAAAAGATTAAACGATTGCTAGAAAATAAAAATAACATAAGATCATTAAAAGACAGAGAAGATAAATGATAGTTCAAGTCTAGTTTGGTGTAGTAAATCCGCTTTGATCTAAGCTAGACCGGTATGATATGACCCGGTCTACTTTATATATTTCTTGTTCGATCTCTTGCGCTTGCTATGTTTTTATATAAATTTATTATGGTGAAAGCCAATTCATTAATAAATACGGAGTATGTTATTCAGTATGATTATCTTTTTTTGGTCCAACAAACTATAAGATTATTATTAGCATGTGCATATACCTTTATGTTTACAACCAATTGAAATAATACTCCATAAAATTAAAGTGTGAGATTTAATAAGTACAATATATATTGTATATTCCACTGCTATTAAAGTGTATATATATATATATATAGAATTTGGATCAAATAAAAAAAAGTCTTAACGTGTAAAATGAGAATTAATCTCAACCGTCCAAAGTGTCGATCTGATGCACAATAACCCTATCTGATGCAATTTCGAATAAACCTTATTTGATGCACTTTTCGAAAAGTGCATCAAATAAGGTCTATTCCAAAGTGCATCAGATAGGGGTTATTGTGCATCAGATCGACACTTTGGACGGCTGAGATTAATTCTCATTTTACACGTTAAGATGTCTTCTCATTTGAACTCATCCCTATATATATATATATATATATATATATATATATATATATATATATAAACTTTACATAATGCCAAGTCAGAGTATCTGACTAATTCACACCCGTCAAAACCAAGTTTAACCAAACCAAACAAGAGCAATTCACATCAGACTAGACTACGGAATCACATATTGCCCGATATGCTAAACTTTTAGGGTGTAGTTGACACTCCTTTTGTTATCCCTAATCTCAAACTTGCTCCAATGCCAGCCTCTAGTATCAGTAATAGTATTAGTATTATCATTATCATGGTTATGATCATGATCCTCATAATATAACTATTACTGTTATTATATCGTGTAGTATTGTTGTTGTTGTTGTTGTTGTTGTTATTGTTGGAAAAAGTGTGTTAAAATTGCATTAAATGGTGATTTTGGGGCAATTTTTTGAGTGGGGTCCACTTCCGATTTGGGTCGGGTCAAAGTGGTTTCGGATTGTCCTTACTTAGGGCTACAATTCGATATATGGTACGCTCAAAACGGATAACGGGTGAATGAGAAATCGCTTTTCGAAGTTTACCCGTTGGAATGGAGAAAACTAGGAAAAGGTGGGTTTTAGTGTGGTTTTTTTTCCACACCGAAAATCACAAGGGAATTTGAACCCTTTATAAAGGGAAACCCCCCCTAAGGAGTTAAGATTCCTAAAGGGAAAGGCCTCTCTCACGCGCGCGGGGGTGCGGATCAAATCCCGAAACCGGAGAACAAAAGGCGCGACTTGCGTGTGCGGGCGACCTGCACACACGAATGCTGTCCGAAAATCTATCTTCTAAAGATAACGTTAATTTTTGTTCTTCCGTAATGTTCCTATTTTTTTGCTCCATTAACTGCCCAACGTTCATATGCCTTAATGCATGGAACTGGAACGTTTTCTGGACAGATCAGTGCAAACGAGCTGGCTATTGAATGCCAACGTTCATGTGGACGTTTAGGACGATTCAATACCAGCATGGTGGCCATTGATGTCCAACGGCCAACTCCATTAAACGCCATTAACATGCAAACGTTCAGCCAACAAATCCACCCTATAAATAGGCTAGCAGGTGCTTTGCAAAGGACACACGTTCATACACTTCGTACACATATTTTCAGAGCAAAAACCACCTCTAGCATTCCATAAAAACTCTCCTGTGTTCTGAGCTTTGTTCACGTTCGTTGGAACTTTCGTTTGAGTGCTCAAACGCTTGTTCGTAGTCATCGTATCTTGGGAAACGATTCTTGCAACGCTCCTAGCACCCCGGGAGGCAAGGAATACGTTTTAAGGAAATCGTGCGTAGCACGAGCTTTGGCTTATTCCGCTTCATCTCATTTCTTGTTTTTTTTTAAGTCATTTTATTTAATTAATTTTTATTAGTTAATTTACTTTGTTTTTCGAAACACACCCAACAGTTATCATATAACATCTAGAATTTATCGTTGAATTTAAATGCTGTTTACAGGATCTAATTATGCATGAGAAACTGCAAGCAGTTTCCTTTTCTTCTCTGAATAAATTCTTAAAAAAGGCACAGCCAAAATTTGTGCTTATATCATCTAGAAGAGATGATTCGTTCTTGGCTCGTTTGCTGGTTTCTAGAGAAGACAGTATTAGTCTATCCATGATATGTTCATCTCGCAGAAGCATGGAGGTATTTGGTAGTTACTTTTAGTCCTTATGTTTGATATTATATATATGGATGGGAATGTGTTTCTGCTGCAGGACTGTTCTGAGTGTAGTTTATGTTTTTTACTTTTTAACTTGAATTTCAGTTGCTGCACAAGAAATTGAGCAATGAATCATTTCTCAAGTGTTGGTATAGCGAATTTCAGCTAGTTTCTATTGGGGAGATAGAGCATGAAATGGACTCTGATTGGAAATCCTTCATTAAGACCCATTCAACGGGTTACCACACTGCTAGAATAAATCTCATCAGGAGAGGTGCATGGACATGATCTGTTTAATTTAGCACGTGTTTGAAAGAGCGCTAGGTGGTGGCCCCTGACCGGGCTTAATCTGGCCTTGATGGGCCCATAAGAAGAAGAAAAAAACTCTAGTGCAGGTTGGTGCTTATATTCACATCAATCAGATGATACTTGGTATCTGTAACACTGCGCTTCTGCAATGACAATCCATTCTAAAAGGTGTTGAGTCTTTACATTCTTTATAATAGTTAGTTTTTGGTGGGGGGAGCACTGGAGCAGGCCTACCCGGGCCGGTCCTTGGCCGGGCCGCCGGTTCGGGCCAGTTCAAACAGTGACCGGGCCGGGCCGCCCGCCCCGAGTCCACCCCTATTTTGGACCCCACTTTAATTTTCAGTCGACATCTTGCATTTAAGCTAAACACAATCCACTCCCGTCAGTAAATCAAATTTCGCACTAGTTCATATGTATTCATTCAATCAATTTAATATTGTGTATCATTAAAACCTTGCTTTTATTATTTTACTTAATTTTTTTCAATTAAATTTTGTGAAAATGAATCATGATTTAGAAAATCAAACATTTTGATGTAAAAATAAAAAAATTGAGAAAATTTACTTTTTGGTGTTACTCCATATCCATCTTTAAAAAAAATTGAAAGATGTAAGTAAAATTAATAATGACATCTTAATTTTAGCACTTGAATCTATTTTAAAAAAATTGGGTCTCAAAATCCCCAACAATTGAAACATCATATTTCTTTGTCAATTTATATATTACGTATATAATATTGATGTCATATGCAATAGGGGTGGACCGGTTCTGGTTCGGGCCTGGGCCCGGCCGGGCCTCGGTTCAGAAAAATGAGGCCCGAGCCCGAACCGGTGGTGGGCGGTTCCGGGTCCGGTTCCGGGCCAGACCGGGCCACCCGGATTTTTAATTTTTTTTTCTTCTTCTCTTATTTAACCCCCTACCTCTCCTCCTCCACCCCAAACCACCCCAAACCACCTCAAATGGCCCAAAATACCTAATCCAACCCAAAACTTAAAAAAAATTCAAAAAAAAAAAAATTAAATTCCGGCCCGAACCCGGCCCGGCCGGTTCACTAAACTGGAGGCCCGGGCCCGGACCGCTATACCACCGGGCCGGGTGACCCGAACCGGGCACAAACCGGTTCACCGGGCCGGTCCGGTTCCGGGCTGGTTGGCCCGGCCCGAGTCCATCCCTAATATGGAAAATAGTGAAATACAAATTAATATATTTTTTGTAAAAAATGAAATACAAATTAAAAAGTTATAACACTTTAAAATAATTTTGAATTAATACCTGTGTTGTAAGAACCGAACCGGACCCGCCGGTTCGACCCGGAACCCGGTCAACCGGCTCTGGTGCCGGTCCGGTTGAATGGAGACCCGCAAATATGGAACAAATCGGAAATAACCGGCGAACTGCTATAACCCGCGACAAACCCAGACCGTCCAAAACCTGTTCGAATCTGAGGGGATTCGAACCCAGGTCATCAAGGGCAACATGCGTAACTCCAACCAGCTAGACTACCTATGTTTTGATTGCATTCTTTCATTTTTATGTTTTTAGATTATACTTCCGTAACTATTTAAGTTATTAAATCAGAATGACAATAATAACCATTTTAACGAGTAGTATTAATAAAATAATACGTATTTATGAAATATCCATTATATTTAGTCATCCTAATTGTAATTCTTATATAGATTCAAAGTATTATGTTCCCATATTTTCCATTCAAATACACCTTTAATCTTGTGAGATTTTTTGTATATTGGTACATCAAGTTTTAATTCAATCTTATAACTATTTTTAAATTTTGAATGAAAATTATTTTTGGTCATACAACTTTAATCAAAATTATAATTAGGTATATTTATATTTTATTTTTCAATAACCATTGACCGGGTTGACCCGGCGTTGACCGGGCTGACCCTCCCGAGTCCGGGTTGACCCGTGACCCAGTGGCTTTTCCGGGTCGCCTCCCGGTCCGGTTCTTACAACATAGATTAATACTTGCTTGGAATTAAAAAGTGATCCCACTGTTTTGTGTAACATGCGGCCAGCACTTCATCCGTACATTCTTTTCATCTTCCGTGAATGGCATAGAATTGGCTTTTCACTTGAACGTTGTGGGCAGGGGGCGTAGGCCGGCATAGTTAGGGGATGATCGACCATTTCCCGGCCTAATCCAAATTTAAAAAATATCTATATTTTATTCCGAAAACGTTCTTCACATCAGCACAGTCCGACCCAGTGCCCTGGCTCCGCCCCTAACTTGTGGGCAGCCTTACAGAAGGTAAGTGAATGTAACTTTTTGCACTCAAAGTACATTATCTTAGACTTGATTTAGTACTTCAAAGTTCAAACTATTTAGGAAGGATTCTTTTCCACGATTCGATACAATAGAGTGGAATTATAATTTAAAGTAATTGACTTGAGTACGAGAAATACACAGAAAGTGCAAAAAAATGACTAAATCTTTAAATCCTTAAAATAAGAGTTTCAATCCCTATTCAATCTCTTTTTACAATTAATTTAGAGGAAATTTCTCGAAATAGAAGTAAAAATATTTTGAATTCTAAAATAGAACTTCCATATTTTTATTTTAAAAATTGACCAAATTATTGTCAAGTTTGGAAAATATTTTCATATTTAAAATCTCATAATGCCATACGTGACAATATCTATTCTCATTTAGAAAATAAAAGTATGATAATCTTATTTTAGAATTAACGAAAGTACTCGCTCCTATTTAAGACAATTTGTTTTTATTTTCTCTTTCTTCGATGGGCTCTCACGTTACCCAGATTATTTTTCTTTTCTCCTTTCTCCTCTTCTATCCCCTCTCTCTCTCCCATTGTGGGTCTCTTCAAATTCATACTCTCATTTTGTATCATTCTTTCTCATCTTTGCACATGATATTTTCTTCTCATTTCTGTATCCGTACTTCTATATGTATACTTTGGCGTAATATGTCTACAACAATTTATTTAGCTGTCTTTGTGATGCAGTTTTAAACTGAAAAATTAATTGACATAAACTAGACTTGATGAAGTACATGCTCAAAAAAATTCATAAAAAAAATTCTCTGGAAAACAGCAAATCCTACTTGAACGGGACTATATATATTCGAGATATCAATACAAATCCTACTCAATTTACAAACTCATCTTGGCCATTCGATGAGTTGATCTAAAGGTTATAAAGACACAGTGACATTTTAATAATAAAAGCCTCCTTTTTTAGGATACAACTCTTTCAACATTAATATGCAACTGTTATTTTATGGATAAATAACATACAACACCTTAAACCTCAATATGCAATTCAAAAACGTAAAGATGCATCATACAAACATTTGCACAATAAGCACAATTGTATTTGATCTGCCTCCTATAACTATGCATATCAAGTAAAAATCATTCATCCCATGAAAACTGTAAACCATTCACTTTCCCCACATTATGATGTACTATTAAATTTTATATTTCATTTTTCACAATGACAGAAAATATTGACTTATTTACAAAAATGCCACCACATTTTTTAGCATGGTTGGACCGAAGTTCACAAAGTGCAACTGATCACCCTTAAAGTGCATCACATTGGGAAAAAAGTGAACAATTTTTTTATTTGATCTAAAACACACACACATTGAGAAATATAAAAGCTTTTTTGAGAATGACAAAAAGGTTACATGCAATAATCAAGGAAGAGAGTCAGAAGGTAAAAGTGGAGAACTCCTCCAAAGTTAATGAAAACATTAATAAAGTCCAAAAAATCCAAACATGATCCATCTAGCTCCTAGATAAAAGCTTCCGATTTGAAGCGATTCCAAGTTGGATCAACTAAACGTTCCATCAACTCTTAATTTGATATATGTTTCCTAATATATAGGAGTGCATTCAATTTCATTGCTTGGAGCCGAATTGATTCCGCAAACATGTCAATAACCCCCTCTATCTCTGGAAGAGGAGTATCTGCAGCAATAATCTGGAGGGGCTTTGCTTCAACAACGTCCAAATCATTAACAAATATCGGAGAAGATGATGATTCAAAGACCTCAATTTTATCTAAGTCTTCCCTAAAAATAATGATGAAATAGATGGTGGCTCAAAAGTCTCAATACCTTAGGACTAAGTCCAAAGAGTTCACAACAAAATTCGAACTCCCGAAAAATCTCAAAATATGTAATATAGAGTAATAGAAGTTTGTGTGCCAAAAATCTTGATGACCCATATCAAAGAGACACAAACCTCCCTTTTCCAACCTTCTAGGATGATAATAGTGATTCGACACTGCCCATCCAATTCCATCAAACGAATAAAACACTCAAATTGATTATTCTCAAAAGAAAATTGAAATTTACGGGAACCTCAAATGCCGTACAAACCCAAGAAGCTCGATATTTAAAACGATGAAAAGAAGAAAATAGCCGTTTGTTGTAAGTATGGTTTGGTCACTTTGGTGTAAGTATGCCTTTGGATTAATTTTTATCTTAGATCACGCCAATCACCTGAGATCACAACATACCACACGGGACTTAAGCAAGGCTAAAGAGTCAAATAGACCCTCGAACTAACTTAAAAATGTAATTCACCCCTTATATAGGAGGCTCTGTCCGGCCGTCGCCATTTGGGACGGTTCTCGGTGGAACTTTTTGATGAAATTTTGTGAGAATCTTCTTCATTAAACCTAGTTTACTCATATCAAATTTCAGCTAAAAATTTAATCGGGAATGCAGTCAAATGAATTTTTTAAGCTAACTGTGCAGTAAAACATCGCAATACATTTCACAAAATCATTTGACTGTCTACGGTTTAATTTTTATATGAAATTTGGTATGGATAAACTACACTTAATGAAAAATATGCTCAAATAGTAATGGCCGGACAGATATCCTATATAAGGGGGTGAATTACACCATTTAGGGTTGGTTTGCAACTACTTTTAAAAAAGCAGTTCTCAGCTTTTGGTTTTAAAAAGCACTTATTTTCCCAAACACTACAACTTTTATTTTTCTCGGCTTCCATGTCAAAAGTGCTTTTACTTTTTCTATTACACAAAAAGCACTTATTTTACCAAACACTACCCCTTTTACTTGTCAAAATCACTTTTTTCTCAAACACTATCAACTTTTATTTAATCATTTCTCCTCATTTCATTAAAAAAAGCATTTTTTTTAAAGCATAAGCTCTTTACGATATTCACCCGAGATCAAATCACACACTGCTGAGTGCTGACCGGTAGCCTAGGGCTTGTTTACGTTGGAATTTGGCTTCCTTGTACATGGTTGCAGGTGTATCACTATCCTCTGTCCTTTGTTTCCTTTGTTTCCTTTGTTTCTATGCGTGATCGCTTAGTGTGTTCCTGATACTTGTTCCACAAGTTCCTTGCTTGATCATTTATCGGTTGTTATCCGAGGAAACCATGAATATAACCGGAATATCTGAGAATGAGTTGCCGGATTTCTTTTGGATGTTGCCTGAATCTCTTACTCATCACATATTGTCATTCCTTCCGTTCAAGGATATCGTCCGTACTTCAATCTTGTCTAAGATATGGAGTGGCATCTGGTTCAATTACCCTAACATCGATTTGTTTTTGCATGAGAATTACATGGGTAAACTACATGGACGCTCTTTCATAGATCACATTAAATCAGTCATGGATCAATGCGTTCTTAGAAAAGCTTGCATACAGAAGTTGCAGTTAAAAGTTTATTCTGGTAACCCGGAGGAGTTGGCACCCATTATGGATCAGTGTTTGAGGTCTGCAATTGAGAGGAATGTTACTGAGCTAGTGCTTCATATGAATTTTGCTCCAACCACTTACTATAATATTCCAAAGGAAGTATTTGTCTCTAATTCACTGAAGGTGTTAGAGCTTGAGGGGTGTAAGTTTGACGATAGTTTTTCCTGCACTAATCTTCCACATCTACAGAAGCTCAAAACCATGCAGTGCCTGTTTGCCGGTGAGAACGTCTTATCCAAGATTTTATGTGGCTGTCCTGAGTTGGAGTATCTGCAAGCTTTAGTATCTGAAGGCATGAGAAGTCTTCTCTCGGTTTCATGTAAGCCTAGATTGAAATATATTCACATCGGGTGTCGCAACGAGCTCAAGAGGATTGAGATCTTTGTACCCAGCCTTGAAACGTTAAAATGTCATTTTGCTTATTCATGTTCCATTGACTTGGCTAGTTGCACTCTTCTCAACCATTTGGAAATAAACGAAGCTATTCTCTCTTCTGATTATGTCCCTATTCAGTATCTTTTATCTAACCTTCTCCAAATTGAAGAATTGCATTTGTCTAACTGTAAATCGGCTGACAAAATTCAAATCTCAAGTTCATGCCTCAAGAGACTTGTCATGACCGAGTTATACGAAAGCTTTCCTGGTGCTGAACTTGACATCCCAAATTTACTTAGTTTAGACTTCTTTTCTATGGGTGAATGTAATCCGAATAACCGGTTCAGTTCATGGAATGTTCCAAAGGTAGAAGAAATTCACATGTTGTTTTCTGTTAAAAGCTTTCAGAGTGCTTGCAGGGGTGGACTGAAGGGGTTCCTTATGCAGTTACAAAATTATGAAGATGTGAAATTGATTATAAAGTGCGGAGGTAATCAGGTAAACTCTCATTGAGTTTTTACTTTGCATACATTGCTACCTAAAGTCGCATAATGTTTTTTTTACTGAGATTACAAGTTCTCTATATCTTCTAAAAGTAGCATGCCACCAATGTGAGTATAACTCTTTAGGATCATGTGGAGTATTTGCTGTCTTCATTTTATCTCGGGAAAAGTCTCATTACACCATTTTGTTTAGACCAAAGAACAATTATGCTCATTGTGTAGCAAAGTATTCATGTAATCTGATATTCCGTCAACACCGTCTACAAAAACAACTTAAGAAAATGAAAGATTTACGCCTTTACCCACAACAGTTTCTCTGACTCAAACACACCTTGTTTTCATCGTTCAGCTCGACTAACATTCTTCTTTTTATCTCCCTCGCTGCCTCCTACTTGATCTCATATCTATCTTATGTTGTTGCCTCCAACAAATAATATCCTCTCGGGTACTTATAATAATCTTCTTTTGGTCGAGATGATAAATGAAAAAAAGTAGATGCCGTCTGTTCTTGCAATTTCATCGACGATCAGGTGTAATAAGATGATTCTGATCCGCTTTACAATTGGGTTTCTGCTCTTTAATTGATGATTCTATCAATTGCTTTAAGAACAGCCATCCTGGCTCATATTATTGTTCAATTAGTTGGAACCCACACAACTTTTTAAATTCGAAGGTTATAGCTTTTGCTTTTTTAACTGAATATAGAAGGTTGTTGAGGTTCTGGTCATCTGTGTAACACTCATCGACATACAAGAAAATTGAGAAGCATATAATTATACATGCAAGGTTTACTGTAACATCTTTGAGTGGTTCAATGGTGGTAAGTGACAGAGGTGCTCGTCCAGCTAATGCACATGATAGAAAGGCATTCAAAAGAAGGTCAGTTGAATATATGATATCTACATTTGGTGCCATATTCGGACTACCCATAGTTAGCAGTGAGAAGTCTATCCCTCTTTAATAAGGCTGAAAACTTGATCCCAATACTTATTTGGTCGGCCATCGGTGGTAATTAATCTGTACTGATTCTGCGAGTAAGTGAGTTTAAGGTTGGTTCAGTTTGATCATCTTGCCCCTACTTTCTCTCCCTAATTAGCAACTGGGGCTGCTTCTCGTCTTTCTACGGCATGGCAGGCGGATGCTGTGAAAGGACCTGTTAATCCATGTACCAAACAGTTCAGTTCCTCCATGTCCAAACAAGATATTCTTCCGTTTCCTAAAGGGGTATTTTTTGAATGTTTAATAAATTTTGAGGTTAAATGAAAATGTTGTTAACTATGAGGTTTAGGCTATGTTCCGTTGGACTTATTTTGACCCAGACACACTGGATCTGTCTAGACCACCATGATATTACTCCCTCGTTGCCTTAAAACTTTGGCGTCTTTGAAATTTTGACCGACTATATATATTTTTTTGGAAATTATTTATTAAAAAAAAATATTGAAATGTTCTTTGCTAAAAGTACTTTCATACAAGTATAAATTTTATAACTTCCATAATACTAATCAAAATCATGGTCCAAGCTTTACGAGATGGCAAAGTTTTAAGGGATGGAAGTAGTATGTTGTAGTATTCTTATTATACTTATCTATTCATTTGGACTAGAATTTTCTTGTCTAGTCTGGCCTACACTAGCCTGATTTCTTCGAGTCTGTTATGATATGGTCCCTTAAGTTATTTCTATTTTGGTCCAGTCTAGTTATATTTGATATTTTGTGTATTTTGTTACTATGAAATGCAAGTCTAGTATAGGCAAGTCTAGTTTGGTCTAGTAAATCAGGTTTGACCTAAGCTAGACTCGTATGATATGACCTAATAACTATTATTTCTCGTTCGGTTTCTTGTGCTTGCTATGTTTTTATGTAAATTTATTTATTACGGTGAAAGCCAATTCATTAATAAATATGTTAAAATACAAAAAATCAAATTTTCTAAATTAGTTTTTGTAAGAATTTTTCTAGTTCAATTATCTTTTTTAGTCTAACAAACTACTCCCTCCGTCCCATTTAAAGGTTCCCGTACACTATTCTCCGGTCAACGTGCATTGCTCTTAATCTTTTACTTTATATATCGAAAGTTTATGAAATCTAAATTATTTTTTGCAGGTTTTGTAGCGATTTTAATGTAGTTTCTGAATATGTAAATTTTATTTTCTAAAAATAATTCTATTAATGACAGGGATCAGTTAACTTTATGGTCAGTCAAACATCGTAAACCGTGTGGGAACCTTAAAGTGGGACGGAGGGAGTATAAGATTATTCTTATCATTTGCATATACCTTTATTTTTACAACCAATTTAATAATACCCCGTAACATTAAAAAGTGTGACAACGTTGTACTTTAATAACTACGATACAACAACAACAATATCCAAACCTTAATTCCCAAAAGATTTTGGGGTCGCCTAACATGAATCGATCCATGATATCAGAGTTAAAAAGAGAAGAAAGATAAGAAGAATAAAAATATAATGTAAGATCAAAATCGATAAGATAAAGATAAATAAAAGATAAAAATAACATAAGAACATAAGAAAGATAAAAGATAAAAAGATCAAACAGCACAAGAAACATAAAAAACATAAGAACATAGAAAGATAAAGAAGATAAAAATAAAAGGAAAAGAGAGAGGAAAGAGAGAAAAGAGATCAATCGTCCACTTTACTATATGCACCCTCCACTTTACTATATGCACCGTCCACTTTGCTTAATAATTTCAATATGTATAGTATGTTGCACTGCTATTAAAGTATATCTATAAAAATAGGGGGAACATGACTTTGCACCCCACTTTCTGGGTGATATGGGACTTTACACCCCATTTTGAAAGAATTTTGATTTTGCACCCCCATCACATAACATTTTGTGAAGAAATCTTTGCGAATGAGGTGCAAAGTCAAAGAATTTTCAAGTGGAATGGGGTGCAAAGTTAAAGTTTTTTTGAAAATGGGGTGCAAAGTCGAATATCACCCAAAAAGTGGGGTTCAAAGTCAAATTTCCCCATAAAAATAAACTTCACATAATGCCAAATTAGACTATGAGACTAGTTCACACCTGTTAAAACCAAGTTTGACCGGATCAAACTAAACAAGAGCAATTCAGATTTGACTAAACTAGAAAATCACATATTGCTCGATGGGCTAAACTTTTAGGGTGTAGTTGAGGTTCCGATACTAAGCAGAATCTAGGCTTGGAAGAAGAGGGGCAGAAGCCCCCGTGGGTTTACTGAAGGTGGGACGGCCTTGAGCCCACCTTCGTGGGCTGGTTGCGGGCTGTTTAATTAATATTTATTCTTTTTAATTTTCCTGATTTGTTTCCTATTTGGAGTTAATCAGGATTTCTAATATTTGTTTCCTATTAGGAATTAATTAGGATTTCAATTATTTGTTGCCTATTTGAAGTTGATTAGGATCTTTATTATTATGTTTCCTAGTTGGAGTTGATTAGGATTTTGTTTCCTAGTTTGAGAATTAGTAGATGGGTATTTAAACCCCTTATTAGGATTCATTCTGGTTCACCTTGGAATAAAATTGGTTTTAGCCTTTTGGCTCTGGGCAACGGTATTTTTATCGTTGATTATCTGGGCAACGGTTTATCCTGTTAATTTTATTTTTTCGTTACATAACGATTGGTCCGACCTGCCGGATCCCTTCCCGCCGGAATGATGAGATCTATCAGTGAACGTTTGTCAGAGATGGTGGCCAAGCAAACTCGGATGATCAAACCCTAGAGGAGCGTACGACATGCGCCTGGCAGAGATCGCCGCATCGCTGACAGCGCTTACCAAGGCGCTCGTTCCGCCAGTCACGACGGAAACAAGTTTGGACACGGTTGACAGCCCCACCGTATCTGCGCACAGCGGCAACGGACAACTGCACAACGTCACTTCTTCCTTGGTTGCGCTCAAAAAGACTCTCGCACCGCCAACGGCGGAGGAGCATTCAACGGCGGAGGAGCATTCAACAGCGGTGACTTCACTCGACGCGGCAGCAGCATCCTCGTTCGGAATTAGACTGTGCAACACCTTTCTCACGATGTTGCCCTTGTTTAACGAAGAAAAACCGATCAGCTGGGTTCATAGGGCTGAGAAACAGTTTGAATTGAACTGTACTCTGCCAGGAAAGAAGGTGGCAGCAACTGTAGTTGTGATGGAAGGGTCAACCCTATACCAGTTGACCTGGATATGGGCACGAAAGTCGGGCATGTCATGGGATGAGCTTACACAGGCGATGGCTCGTTATGACTCACAGTTTAAGGGCAATCACTTTAAACGACTGTCTGGAGGCAAGCAAACAGGGACTGTGGAGGAGTTAGTTTGGGCTCCTAGACTATGGCGTCAATTTTTCCTAAAGATACTGCGCAGTCCCCGGGAACAAATATCAGCCGATTTCTGGTTTTCAACCTTGAGGAAAAGGTTTTTTCGAAGGGGGTGGAATTGATACGAAGCAGAATCTAGGTTTGGAAGAAGAGGGACAGAAGCCCCTGTGGGTTTACGGAAGGCGGGACGGGCTTGAGTCCACCTTCGTGGGCTGGTTGCGGGCTGTTTAATTAATATTTATTCTTTTTAATTTTCCTGATTTGTTTCCTATTTGGAGTTAATCAGGATTTCTAATATTTGTTTCCTATTAGGAGTTAATTAGGATTTCAATTATTTGTTTCCTATTTGAAGTTGATTAGGATCTTTATTATTATGTTTCCTAGTTGGAGTTGATTAGGATTTTATTTCCTAGTTTGAGAATTAGTAGATGGGTATTTAAACCCCTTGTTAGGATTCATTCTGGCTCATCTTAGAATAAAATTGGTTTTAGCCTTTTGGCTCTGGGCAACGGTATTTTTATCGTTGATTATCTAGGCAACGGTTTACCCTGTTGATTTTATTTTTCCGTTACATAACATACTCTTTTTATTATCTTTAATCTCAAACTTGCTCTAATGCCAGCCATTAGTATCACTAATAAAATCAGTATTATCATTATCATGATCCTCATATTATAACTATTACCGTTATTATATTATGTAGTATTATCATTGTCGTTGTTGTCGTTGTTATTATAGAGCATCTAAAATTTATCATTGAATTCAATGACTATTTACAGGATCTAATTATGCATGAGAAACTGCACGCTATTTCCTTTTCTTCTCTGAATAAATTCTTAAAAAAGGCAAAGCCGAAATTTGTGCTCATATCATCTAGAAGAGTTGATTCGTTCTTGGCTCGTTTGCTGGGTTTTACAAAAGGCAATGCTAGTCTATCCATGATATTTTCTTCTCGCAGGAGCATAGAGGTATTTGGAAGTTACTTTTAGACCTGATATATGGATGGAGTGTGTTTCTGCTGCAGGACTGTTCTGAGTGTTTGTTTTATGTTTTGTACGTTTTAACCTGAATTTCAGTTGCTGCACGAGAAATTGAGCAATGCATCAACACTGAAGCATTGCTATAGGGATTTTCATCTGGTTTCTATCGAGGAGATGGAGCATGAAGTGCACTCTGATGTGAACCCATTCATGAAGACCCATTCAATAGGTTACCACACTGCTAGATTAATCCTCATCAGGAAGAGTTTCATGGAAATGTTCTGTTCAATGTAGCATGTGTTTGAAAAGAGCTTGGCGGTGGCCCCTGGCCGGGCTTAATCGGGCCTAGATGGGCCTAGAACAAGAAAAAATCTCTAGTGCAGCGTGCTGCTTGTTTTCACATCAATCAGATGATACTTGCTGTAGGTAACACTGCGCGCCTGCAATGACAATCCATCCTAAAAGGCGTTGAGATTCTTTACATTCTCTCAAAATCATTAGTTTTTTAGGACACCTGTCCTCTGAGGCCTTGGTCCTTTTCTAGAACAATTTGTAGCTTGGTTTTACATTATCAATCTTGTCACGAGATATTAGAGCCCCTCTCCATTGGGGATGTGGATTGTGTATAGAAAGATGGACACAACCATATTTAATGTAGTCATTAGCATTGGAGAAGATATTTATACCTTAATCTTGTTTTTTAAGTGACAGTGTATTTTCCAACCATCCATATCTCACCCATAAGAAATGCTCTCATTGATATAAATATCTCATCTCATTCATGTCTCATCTTGTGGAATAACATCTAGGTCGATTGGTGGTTGTATTTTATGTAGAGATCTAGTCTTTATAGATGTATTGCACAATTTTAGACTTGTATCCCTCTTTAATTTTCAGTCAATATCTTGCATTTACAGAAGGTAAGTGAGTGTAACTTTTTGCATTCACAAGCGAAGTGAAAAACAATTGTCCAGTACTCAAAATAGATTGTCTTGTCTTGGACTTGATTGAGTACTTCAAAGTTCAAACTATTTATGCAGGATTCTTCTCCACCATTCGACACCATAGAATGGGATTGGGATCCTCTACCCGACTAGGAGGGTGCCTTGCGCATCGGACAGTCGGGCAGCAACGAGGACGGTCTCGAGATCAGCGAAAGTGTGGACCCCAAGATCTAGGGCCGTTGAATTGCCGATCGGACGGCTGTCCGGAAGTAAGGCACTCTACCTTGCTGTAAAGTAAGGCAGAGGCTCTGGATCCGAATGGGATGTCATTGGATTCTTCTCCATCATTGGATCGATAATGTGATTAGCGGCATTTGAATTTATCCAGTGTCATGAAAGGTGCAACTAAAAGACTACGTGTGTATATTAAATTGCAGTATTGCACTCCCAAGAAGACATGTTTGTTCACATAATGCTTATTTATTACTCCGTATAGGCGTATATGCTTCATTCTGCCCGTAGTGATGACTCTTAAAAACAATATAAGGTTTTGAACTCCTAGAGTTCAAGAATAAGAACAAACATCGTTTACAATTTTTTTTACATGTTTTAAAATGAGAATGTAGCTGCAAACACAAGATTAATGAGAAACTATTATCATAATGCATTGAGAAAGAAATTCGATTTAACTAGGAAGTGCTTTTTAGCCGATAAAATAAAGGCTGGAGGGTCAAATAGGCCCCATGTACTTGTCCGTAATGCTCAATTCGACCCTCTGAACTGAAAAAAGTTTCAATTGACACCTGAATTGGATAAAAAAGTTTCAAATTTAACAATTTGTAGGTAACCATCCGGTCAGCGCCACATCATCAGGTCATGTGTCAACCGTGCATCTATAATTAGGAAAATATTTTCATTAAACAACCAACTTTATCACCAAACATGTAATTTTTTTTTCGCTCACTTTTTTGTGTAATAGTAAGAAAATGTAAGGTTGAAGTTACTTTTCTGGATGTATTGGCTGTATTGGTTTAAGTTGGTGTAGATGATCATTCTAGTAATTTTTATTATAATTTTTTCTTTATTTAATAAATAAAATACATTTTAAATACGATTTTTTCATAAATAAGCAGAATCAGCCAAGTCCATCATTTGCAATGGAGCCAAAGATTCATTATTTTTTGGCTTGAGAATATGATGGAATAAAGCAAAATGGCTCACTAAACTGTCTGCGTTTCTTTGTTATGAAGCAGCAGTAACTCCATGCAATTTTGGACGCGATTTTCACTATGGGTCATCCAGAAATAGTCTCTTTGTGCTTTAGTACAGGAGTAAGACTGCGTACATCCGACCCCCCCTTACCCCACCGTAGGTGGGAGCCTTTGCGGCACTGAGTAAATGAAAATGATGAAGCAGAATCAGCCAATCTAGCTTGAATCAAAACTTCATAAATTTCAGCAGAATCAACCAATACAGCTCATTTAGGTATTACCAAATAGGATCTTAATGTTTCTTCTATATATATATATATATATATATATATATACATATACATATATGTACATATATATATACATATATGTACATATATATATGTACATATATGTACATAGAGTCCTGATCCTGTCCAGACGTCCGGACAGGAACCGCCGTCCGGCCGGCGGCGTTTGGCCGCCTTCCCGGTGGAATTTTTTGATGAAATTTTTATGGCATGTTCTCCATCAAGTCTAGTTTATCCACAAAAAAATTCAGCCAAAAACTCAATCGGGAAGGTCGTCAAATGATTTTTGCAAGTTAACTGGTCCGGAAAATACATATTCCGGACCAGTTAACTTGCAAAAATCATTTGACGACCTTCCCGATTGAGTTTTTGGCTGAATTTTTTTGTGGATAAACTAGACTTGATGTAGAACATGCCATAAAAATTTCATCAAAAAATTCCACCGGGAAGGCGGCCAAACGCCGCCGGCCGGACGGCGGTTCCTGTCCGGACGTCTGGACAGGATCATTTGTGTATGTACATATATATATACATATACATATAGGGGAAAGATCAAGTACAAACTGTGCTTATTGTGCAAATATTTGTACGATGCACCCTAACGTTCTTTGTATTGCATATTGAGGTTCAAAGTAGTGCATATTATTCAGCCATAAAATAGCAGGTGCACATTAACGTTCAATGAGTTGCACCCTAAAAAAGTTGGGTTTTATTACAAAAATGCCACCTTGCCTTTATGTCCTTTGGATCAACTCATCGGATGGTCAAGATGAGTTTGTACTTTGTAAATTAAGAAGGGTTTGTATTTGATCTCTATTCTATACATATATGTAT